TGCCTACCTCGTAAAGATCTTTATCACGATCTATCTGCAAGGAGAGACAGAATAAAAAATAGAGAAGATGGACATACAGATATACATACTGCACCATAGTTGCCACAGAGAGATGGAGATAGGTGAATGTGTCTCGCTTACCAGTTCACACATACTCTGAAGTTTATCACCATTGAACCTAGTCGCCAATGCTTCTTTAAGGCCCTAAATATTTTTATTAGATATAACCATAAATATTCGTATCACAATTCGTAAACAAAAGGTTCCTAAACGTAAAAAATATGGGGTGCAAAATGATGCTTGGGGTTTTGTACCTCAATAGAGGGTGGAACATCAACTTTAATAATTCTAGTCACCAGTGGAACTTCCCTGGCTGCATCATTTCTATTAATCGCTCGACGCAACTTCAGGCAAAACCATGTACTACTCCAGTACCCCAATATGATGCTCAACATTTCCCTTTGAGAAGAAAAAAAAAAAAAAAAGAGAAACAAAATGAGCATATCTATAAATTGACACTTGATGCTTCCATGTCATACAAAAATGCATCCGGCTATTCTATCACACAAGAGACCCCATAGCCTTATGCTTCTGTGTCTCTCTAAAACTGCAGTTGATTCATTCCTTGGTCATCAGTGAGAAATAAGGCTTGTTGGACTTATACAGATTACATCATGACTTGTATGCCCGTGTTCACAAACCACGTTAATTATCTTAATCCATCCAAAATTTTTATAAACTAAAATGAATTTAATGGATTAGAAAAAGAAAAAAACGGATCGCATCATGCACACATATTATCAGCACAGGGGATTCGAAACCGGAACAAGTGAAGTTCTCTGATATGTTGGCAGGATATACGACAAAGAATGTTATTTTGATACACTTGAACACGCAGCCCAATAAAGAGACTTTCTCCCCCACTAGGAAGCTAAAACTTGCAGGGAAATTGCATAATGCTTTGAAGTTTTAAAGTGACATCTTACGCTAAGAGAATCGGTCGAGTGTCAAAGCATTATTGCCATAGGTTTCTTGTGCCACAAAAGATTAATTTTCCCAAGCACAGAACGTAATTATTTGAAGCATGCAACTAGAACAATGATAAATAAAACCAACGATACAGGAAAAAATTCAATATATTCATTTTAAAAAGGGAAGATATCAATCATCACCTCATAAAGAAAATGGTATCTGTTTTGTGTTGCAAAACGAATCCCAATGCGGCGTCTCTCCTGAGACACTCAACTCGTTCTAGGTTACTTTTTTCCATTGAGTAAGCCTCTACGAGGGCGAGCACATACGGATACGGATCCTTCAAATAAGAAGATGCGAGAATAAGAATGATATATTTTATTTGAAGTATTAGGTTTGCCCCACGAAAAAAATATTGTAACTGTACAGAATACCTCAATATGTACCCCAACAAATGCATTGTGAAATGCTTCATCTTCTAAAAGGTCCGCAATTAGCTGACCAAGATGGTCTACAAATCCATCATCTCCAACAGCAAGCTTCAGCACAAAGAAAATATTTTCCACTTGCGACTTCAGCCTTGAGATGTTTTTCACTGTGCGAGCCATAAAATAAAGGCCACCAGATTTCTGCAGAATAAGAAAAAAAAAAAAAAAAAAAAAA